CTCTTTTGTACTTAGTGAATATGATGTATCTAGTACACTACTGTAATTCTAAATCAAATTTTTTCACGTCTTTACACTTCTGTAAATAGGATATATCTTATAATTGATGGTATTTTTAAGTACTTTTTCTTAGTAGTACATATTATATTGATTTTTTTGTTTTACAATCAGTGGTGTTTTAGATTTGATGAAATGTGGTAAATAGTCAGAAAAGGCCTGATACTGTGAATTGAAGTCATACTTGGTGATACTGTGTCGAGCAGCTACTGAATTGTGTAGTACTCCTGTAACCTAAGAAAGCAGTTCATTCTCAATTTAGTTATCCTCCTTTTCAAAGGATACAGATTTTCAGAATTTTCAGAATTTTCAGCCATCTTATAAGATTATTTTCTTGTTTTTCTTTATGTGTTATCCTAGCTATCAATAAGACCATCTTCACCCTCTTCAGTGTTTTCATAACTGTATGGCTAGAGACAGGGATTTTCTGAGAATTTTGTTTAATGGGTTACTGCCAGCCTGACTGTAGAGTTTGCTCAATCCTGGATGTGATGCTGGCTCATTAATGAATTGGTCCCTCCTAAAATAAAATGTTTCCCTGTCCCTTCTGGGACTTGATTCCGATTTCAATTGTATTTCAAGAAGCAAATGATCTCTGGAGGAGAACTAGTCTCTTTACTGATATACCCTAGTGAAAAGACCCTAAGCTTTAGAGCCAGACAGATCTGGATTTGAATCGTGACTCTTCTGTTGACATGTTCCCTATGTGATGTTTCCTCTATTAATTTTACTCACTCTCAAGACTTCTAGTACTGTTACTACTGTTACTGTTACCACCATTACCAGGTTTACTGCTAAGAGGTGTTTTGAATAGACCTCTGAAATCTAACTTAGTGTTGCCATAATTTATCTAATGCTCCACCCAGCCAAAATGGCACAACTCAGATGAACCCTAGTCTCTTAGAGAAGAATAAGATCAGAGTGTAAAGATCATAAAGATGACGTGTTCATTTGCCTTTTTTAACATTACAGACCCACTTAAGAGCCGTAACTAGCTTTGAATTGAATTTCTATAAGAGAATATAAATATTCAGGTGAACTCTCATTTTTTTCTTTATTGAAAAATGTAAAAATTCATTCTTAATCATTTTTTTCTTTGGAATGTAATTAAAAGGCAGTGAGGCTGGCCTTGATACAAAGTGCACAGATGCCGTTCTGCAGAAAATGTGTCTTTGACAGATGAGATTCTTCCTGTGAATGTTCTGTTTATTGCTTTCATAAATATTCTGTTGTCAAAACATGACTTGCTGTTTATTAACAGCACTGACAGGAAGATTCCTATTAATGGCAGCATTCTTATTACCCATAGACCCTGTCACTTTTAACTTTGCAATTTTAAGAGAATTCTATTTGGTAATTACTTAAGATATTTCTAAGTTTATTGATCCTACCCCTGTTTAACTGAGTGAAGTCTGAGTGGCAGGTCTTCAGCCCAGTGACTGACACTGGGAATAATCATCAAATCTGCATCTTTGGAGGCAAGGAAAAACTTGCTACCTGTCAGCCTTGGTCTTGTTGCCCTGCAGCCTGCCAGAAAAACCCAGTGCATTGTGGCCAGGCACGGTGGATCACTTGAAGTAAGGAGTTCGAGACCAGCATGACCAACATAGTGAAACCCCATCTCTACTAAAAATACAAAAAATTAGCTAGACGTGGTGACCCATGATTGTAGTCCTGACTACTCAGGAGGCTGAAGCAGGAGAATCACTTGAACCTGGAGGGGTGGAGGTTGCAGTGAGCTGAGATCACGCCACTGCACTCCAGCCTGGGTGACAGAGCGAGAGTCTGTCTCAAAAAAAGAAAAAAAAGAAAAACACAATGCATTGAGCACCTGCTGAGAGCAGTGCAAGAGGGTTAAAATGCATGGGTATCATCCCTGCCCTTAGAAAGTTTACTGTCTAATACAGATACATGCTAAAATGTAGATGCATATTTTAAATAATCAGGTATATGGCTAAGCCAAACATACATGCTTCATATGCAACTGGAATAGTTGCTTTGGAATCAGAGGGACTTGAATATAAATCATACTAATTGTTTATCTTTTGAAAAATTATTTAATTTTTTTTTAGTTTATTTCCTTACCTGAAAAATAGAAGTAATACTGTCTATCTCATGAAATTGTGAAAATTAGCCTTGCAAGTTGCATACGTTTTGTGAATTCTCTGCATCTTTCTTTTTCCATGATTGATAACTGGCAAAGACATTTGCATTATGTGATCCTCAGAACAATCCTGTAAAGTAGCTTGGGCATAGGTTTCATCCTCATTTGTTGGAGAGAGAAACTAAGGCTGAGACAGGCTAAGTTTATTACTTGGATTCATTGAATGGTATAGTCAAGCCCAGGTCTCCTGACTCGTGTTCCAATGTGTTTTCCACTCTTTGATACCCATGCCTGAGTGACTAAAATTTAGAATTATACTTCTCAGTGCCCCTGTGCAGAGGCAGTAGACTGAGTCATATATTTGGAGATGATGTGAAGGAAACAGAAAGCCAGTGTTTTCCTTGTAATATGAATGGAGCCATATAAGATTATTATAGCCTTCAAGAAAGGCATGAGTGGGTGTTAGGGAATGGCCGAGAGATGCTCTAGCTCTGGTAGAAACACATGACTATGGTAGAGTAAGAGAAGAGGGTATTTGCATACTGAGTAGATGTGTTTAGAATCCACATCATACCTGAAATTATTTAGGCCTTTTATTCATGTTTCCGATTTCTTAACTTCATGCTCCTTCTAAGTTGAACTGTTCAGGTGATAATGTGGTACAGCAGAAAGAACATGGCCTTTGGAACCAAACTACAGTTCAAATCTCAGCACTGTCAATCCATGGCTGTATGATCTTGGGCAAGTGACTTAATTTCTCTTAGCTCCTGTTTCATTATTTATGGACTAAAAATAATAATCAATACTTAACAGTATAATTGTGAAGATTAGGTGAATTAACATATGGAAAATGCCTTTTACATACTAGGCACTTGAGAACTATTAGTTCCTTTAAGCTGTCCATCTATACTTGATGACATACAGTCTGCTATATCCTCCTAATTATATTCTGATCTTAGATTTCTACTAAGAGAGCTCACTGTTTCTTAGAATTGAGTAATTTTCTCTTTTTTGATAGCCTATTATGGGTCTTTTATAATTATTTCATTATGAAATAACATTAAGTAAGTAGAAGTTCGCAAGTTACACCCAAAATATAAAAAGGGGTCAGTTTTAATTTTCCACTACCAAGACTTTAATAGTAAAGGAGTTCTTGTCTTAATTATAAAATTCATTCTTTCTTTCCATAACTAGAATATATATAAGATAGAAAAAGTAATTGCATTGGTTAATAATAGATTATCATTCTTAACAAAAGGAAAGACATTTCTATAGGAATGCTCTTTAGAAATTTTATTTATTTTTTATAAGTAGAAATTGATGCCACTACAGTTCACTGTTACTTTGTGATTTATTACACACTGATATGACAAATATATTTCCTTAGATTCCTTAACTTCTATTACCTATATTCTTTTAAAAAAACTTGTGAAGATAGATGCTGTGAAATTCATGCTAAAAAACCACACGGTAAGTCTTATTTCTTTAATTAATTAATAGAATTTTACAAATAGTTGAGGTAAAGCGTTAGTAACTTGGATTACTCTTTTGCTTTCATTAGAGTGAACACTTCCCTTTTCTTGGCATCAGTGACAGTTACAGTCTCAGTGACTTCAGGTGTCGAACAACCTTCTACACAGCGCTCACTCGCCTTCTGATGGTAGATCTAGGTAAGGTTAAGAATTTAAACTCAATAAGGGATCAGCCATACGCTTGTGTGAATAAAGAAGTGGAATACTAGTGGGTACAACATTTAACTTATTAGAATTAGCCATTTCGGACAGTTTTCTACAACCTTCTAAGATTTGAGTGTTCACTTGTTAGCATTAGAGCCAAAAGACAAATCTTTGTACTTAAGGTGGCATTTTTCACTTCACATAACACTTGCACTGATTTTTTACCTCATAACTTACTTTCTGCCTGTCCTTTGACACATTGATTTTACTGCTATGAATCTAGGAATAATCTTAACAGACAAAAACTTTACACACAAGGTTTTTTTTGCTTGTGTGTAAAGAAGATTTTCGTCATAGTGATGTCTAAACTAGAGAAAAAGTGGAAATGATGTAACTGTCCAACAGTAGGGAATTGTAAAATTATGGCATGCCCACTTACTTGTGGAATGATTGGCACTCAATGAAAATGAATATTTAAAGACAAGGCGATAGGTGAAATTTTATATTATAACATTAAGTGAAAAGGCAAAATGTTACACTGGTGCAAATGGTATGACTATGTATGTTGGAGATGGGGGGACAATACTTCAGAAAAGGCTTAAATGGAATTCTTCAAAAATGGTTAGTACATTCATTGTGAAAAACCGTGTAGAGGGTCCTCAGAAAATTCGAAATAAAATGACTCTACAATCCAGCAATCTGATTACTGGGTGTATATGTATCCAAAGGAAATGAAATGAGTATATCAAACAGCTGCATTACCGTATGTTTATTGCATATTCACAATAGCCAGGATATATGGAATCAACCTAAGTGTCCATCCACAGATGAATGGATAAAGAAAATGTGGTATATATACACAATGGAATACTATTCAGCCATAAAAAAGAAAAAAAGTCTGCCATTTGCCACAGTATGGATGAACCTGGAGAACACTGTGTTAAGTGAAATAAGCCAGGCTATGGACAAATACTATATGATATCACTCATATGTGAAATCTGAAAAAGTTCATCTCATAGAACTACAAAGTAGAATGGTGGTTACTAAGAGCTGAGGACTTTGGGGTGATGCTGGTCAAAAGATACAAAGTTTCAGGTAGATAGAATAAGTTAAAGAGGTCTGTTGTACATAGATGGTGAGTATAGGTAATAACAATATATTGTATTCTTGAAAAATACTAAGAGACTGGATGTTAAAGGTTCTCATCACAAAAATGATAACTATAGAGGTAATGCGTTTGTCAGTTAGTTAGATTTAGTTACTCTACATCATACATATGTACCTCAGATATATTGCAGATTTAGTTCCAGACCATCATGATAAAGTGATACAATAAAGCAAGTCACACAGTTTTTGTTTTCCAGTGTATATAAAAGTTAAACTTACTGTACTGTAGTCTATTAAGTGTGTAATATCATGATGTAGATACAATGTACATATCTTAATTTAAAATACTTTATTGCAGCCTGGTGCGGTGGCTCACACCTGTAATCCCAGCACTTTGGGAGGCCAAGGCGGGTGGATCACCTGAGGTCAGGAATTCGAGACCAGCCTGACTAACGTGGTGAAACCCTGTCGCTACTAAAAATACAAAATTAGCCAGGCATGGTGGTGAATGTTTTGTAATCCCAGCTACTTGGGAGGCTGAGGCAGGAGAATTGCTTGAACCCAGGAGACGGAGGTTGCAGTGAGCCAAGATCACGCCACTGCACTCCAGCCTGAGCAACAAGAGCAGAACTCCATCTCAAAAAACAATAAAACTAAATTAAATACTTTATTGCTAAAAAATTCTAGCAACCATCTGAGCTTTCAACGTGTTGTAATCTTTTTCCTGGTGGAAGGTCTGGTCTCGATGTTGATAGCTGCTGACTGATCAGGGTAGTTGCCAAAGGTTGAGGTGGCTGTGGCAATTTCTTAAAATAAGACAACAATGAAATCTGCTGCATCAATTGACTTCCTTTCACAAAAGATTTCTCTGTAGCCTACGATGCTGTTTGATACAATTTGACCCACAGGAGAACTTCTTTAAAAACTGGAGTCAGTCCTCTCAAACTCTGCTGCTGCTTTATCAACTAAGGTTGTGTAATATTCTAAATCTTTTGTTATTTCAACAATGTTCACAGCATCTTTACCACAAGTAGATTGCATTTGAAGACACCACTGTATTTGGTCATCCAGAAGAAGCAACTCCTCATCCATTCAAGTTTTATGACGAGACTGCAGCAGTTCAGTCACATCTTCAGGCTCCACTTCTAATTATAGGTCTCTTGCTCTTTAAATCACATCTGCAGTTACTTCCTCCCCTGAAGTCTTGAACCCCTCAGAGTCATCCGTGAGAGTTGGAATCACTTCTTCCAAATTCCTGTTAATGTTATTATGACCTCCCCACCGAATCACAAATGTTCTTAGTGGTATCCAGAATGGTGAGTCCTTTCCAGAAGGTTTTTGATTTACTTTTCCCTGATTCATCAGAGGAATCTGTGGTAGCTCTAGCCTTACAAAATCCTTTTCCTGAGCAGTAGGCTTCAACAGTTGGCTTAAAATTTTCAGTAAACCATGCCATAAACAGATGTGCTGTCATCCAGGCTTTGTTGCTCTATTTCTAGAGCACAGGCAGAGTAGATTAAGCATAATCCTTAAGGACCCTAGGATTTTCAAAATGACAAATGGGCACTGGCATCAACTTCAAGTCACTGTCAGCATTAGCCCCTAATGAGAGAGTCAGCCCGGTCTTGGAAGCTTTGAAGTCAGACATTGACCTCTCCTCTCGAGCTATGAAAGTCCTAGATGGCATCTTCTTCCAGTAAAAGGCTGTTTCATCTGCACTGAAAATCTGTTGTTTAAGTGCAGCCACTTTCATCAATGGTCTTAGCTAGATCTTCAGTATAACTCACTGCAGCTTCTCCATCAGCACTTGACTGCTTCACCCTGCACTCTGAGGTTATGGAGGCATCATCTTTCCTTAAACCTCATGAACCAACTTCTGCTAGCTTCTAACTCTTCTTCTGCAACTTCCTCACCTCTCTGCTTTCATAGAATAGAGTTAGGGCCTTGCTTCGCATTAGGCTTTGGCTTAGGAAATGTTATGGCTGGTATGATTTTCTATGCAGACCAGTAAAACTTTCTTTATATCAGCAGTAAGGTTGTTTCACTTTCTCATTGTGTGTTTTTGCTGTCATTTTAGTTTAATCGCTTTAATTTTCTTCAGTAATTTTTCCTTTTCATTCATCACCTGGCTACCTGGTGCAGGAGACCCAGTGTTTGACCAATTAAAGCTTTTGACATGCCTTTCTCACTGAGCTTAATCATTTCCAGCTTTTGATTTAAAGTGAGAGTTGTGCAGCTCTTCCTTTCACGTGAATACTTGGAGACCATCACAGGGTTATTAATTGGCCTAACATCAATATTGTTGTGTCTCAGAAAATAGAGAGGCCTGAGAAGATGGAGAGATACAAAGGAGTGGCTGGTTTATGGAGCAGTCAGCATATACAATATGTATCAATGAAGTTGGCTATCCTATAAGGGCACAATTTGTCGTGCCCCACAACAGTTACAATAGTAACATCAAAGGGCACAGATTACCATAACAGATATAATAATAATGAAAAAAGTTTTAAATATTAGTAAAATTATCAAAATGTGGCCCAGAAACACGAAGGAGGTTCATGATGTTGGCAGAATGATGCCAATAGAATTGCTCGACTCAGGTTTGCCACAAATCTTCAGTTGTTTTAAAAAAAAAAAAAAAAAAAAGTGTAGTATCTGTGAAGCACAATAAAACAAGGCCTGTCTATATACCTCAAAACCTGTTGTATACAATAAATAACATAAAATTTTATCTGTAAATTTAAAAAATAATTAAAAATGCTAAATGTTGACTTTGGGTTGTAGCATGTAGGTAATTTTTTCTATTTCGGATCATTTGAATTTTTTTAGTGTATTCCTTTTATAATGGTAAAAATTAACTTTTTTTTTGAGATGGAGTCTCGCTGTGTCTCCCAGGCTGGAGTGCAGTGGCGTGATCTGGGCTCACTGCAAGCTCCGCCTCCCGGGTTCACGCCATTCTCCCGCCTCAGCCTCCCAAGTAGCTGTAACTACAGGCGCCCACCACCACGCCCAGCTAGTTTTTTGTATGTTTGGTTGGGGCTGGGTTTCACCATGTTAGCCAGGATAGTCTCGATCTCCTGACCTCGTGATCCACCCGCCTCGGCCTCCCAAAGTGCTGGGATCACAGGCTTGAGCCACCGCGCCCGGCAAATTAACTTATTTTTAAAATTTGTTACTAAAAAGCTAAAGTTAGTGAGAAGTATTTACAGATGGGCAGTACCTTAGGATGGGCATTTAAGCTTCTTTGTAGTGACTATGTTACTCTAGATTCCCATTTCTCATATTGGAATACTACAAGTTAGACCAGTTATACATGAGAGGGTTCAGTCAGTGACAATATCATCCTTAGACAATATAGTACCAATAATACTTTTTTTGTTTATCTTGCAGTCTATTAATACATCAACTTAAATATGAATATTTAAAAACATGTTCATACAAACAGAAGAAAAATAATTTTATTTTGCACATAAAAGGCATTGAATTTTGAAATGGAAAGGGGACCACACCCGTCTATGTTTCATGCTTTTTTCCCTGCTTTGCCACAGACTAAATCACCAGAAAGACAAACTGCCAAAAGTTGAGAGAAATGCAACTAGAATGATTAAAGAGCTTAGTGGGATTGATTTCTAAGGAAAGATTAAAAGAACCATGTATGTATAACTTGGCTAAGTGACAACTAGGGCTGGAGGCAAAGAGAACTGTCTATAAATATTTGAAGAGTGTAAACCAGGCATGCAAAACCCAATCATCTGCTACCTTAGGGAAGTGGGAGATGTAACAGAGTGACAGCTTTTCGTACCGCATCCTGGCCTATTTTACCTCTTGGCTGCTGTGTTGGAGAGAAGAGGAGCAGCCCAGACTGTGTCATTGTCCTTGACAATCA